TTATTTTTTTTTTATTCCAATTAATATGAAAAGAGAAAATATTCCTTGAATGGCTGTTTTTTTGGCCCTGATTAATCTAGCTCTGAAAAAAAAAAAAAAAAGGAAAAAGAAAAAGAAAAAAGGATTATGAGTTCCACACGCTAAGTATTAGTAAGTTGGGCCCCCTTTCAAACTCTGTGCTTTACTCTTTCTTCCAAAAACTTGTAAAATGCACAAAATTCAACCAGCAGAAGTTTCGAGGAAAAGTAGCTATACTTTTTCCTCATTCATGCTCACAGCGCTATTGCTTTTAGCATTGATCAAATTTCTCATCATTAATTAGGGGTTGCCTAAGTGAAAGACTTGAAACTCATATGTATTGAATTTTTTATAATTTTTTGTGCCTCCTTGGTCAGGGGTTTTTTGTTTTTTTTTAATAAGAACAATAATTAAAAGTTAAAAATTAAAAATTAATATTTTACTCTTTAATAAAATTCGACTACTAAGCGAAAAGTATTTTATCGATAACCCTTTTAGGTTGCAGTGACACCACTGGACCACAAACAGATGAATGCTTTGGTCAAGGTTGATTGTCAAGGTTGTCTGAGTCTAATGCTAAGAAGTAATGCTATTTACGTTGAATAGTCAAGGTTGAAAGCAACGTTAAAACACTTCGATCCTTAGTACGTATCATTAAAAGAATAGATGGACATTAGATGTCTTCACGGACTTTCTGCTTATGCTGTTAAGCCTGAAAAATAAAGAAGCATAAATGAATGCTAAAACAACGGAATTGATGAATTGGTGTCTATCTTCTTCCATGACACAAAGAATAAGAATCCTATGTTCCTATCCTTCCCCTTTTATGGTTTGGTGACCAACCTGTTGCTATAGAGTGTAGAAGGGATTTTCAACAACGTCTGACTGACTCTTGTTTTTATTGATTGACGGGCATCGCCTCTTTGCCCCTTTCCTATTTAATACGTTGCATTGCATCCGTAATTGCATATTTCATTTGCTAAAAAAAAAATCCCAAATCTTAAACTTTTTCCTCTTCCTGGTACATTTTGAAATTTATTGGCACTTCTAAGTTAAAACAGCAGTACACAAAACTCTATTAGTGTGGTTGTGGCTTGTGGGAGGTTTCGAGTGTAGAACTAGAACTCTTCATCAATCATTGATCTGAGTTTTGATATAATGACTATGAATCCAGAGGATGAAAAGCACTCATAATTCAAGTTGCAAATCGATAACAAAACTAGAGGTTTATATATCCTAATTGCTTATATGTGTTTCCCCTTTTAGTACTTGGAGCATATTTGGATCTGTCACCATACAAATTTAAGGTTTATGCAAATTTTGATATCTACTGATCATGTATCTCTTCTCCTCTTGAACTTGAATAGTATTGCAGACTATAATTTATGCAAATTCCCTAGAGAGGGAAAAAAAAGAAGCATAATGTATGTATATGTAGATATGTGACCGGGTGACTCTTTGTATTGGACCACCACCTACATGATTGACCAGAATGGATTTTATCTGGTATAGTAGGCCCAATTATGAGCATTTTCTTATGTTATCTTCATTTCAGTTGGATGAACCTAATCATTTCATTTCTTCCCCATCTTATTAAACTAACCAGGCACACTTTCAGCCATGGAGGAGACCAGCAAAATTAAGCTGTCCTTTGTCAATGTTAGCTGTCATCAGCATCTCCATGCATCTAGCTCTGGTTTCTGCAATGAAGTCACCTTGTTCTGTTAACATTATGTCATTTGTAACATAATTGCAATAACATGATTTGATTTTAGCCTAAATCCTATGATTAATCTTATGTTTCACAAAAAAAACAGCAGTTTTCTCTGCTAATTATAAATATGCTGATATCCAGGTAACTTCTTGGAATTTAGTCAAGGAATTAGTGTTGGTTTCTAATTTGTCTTCTTTAAGCTATTTCTGAATATGGGAGCTGAGGGTTCAGAGAAGTATATATTAGATAATATATGATGCATATCGGTCCCAGAATATCCATTTTACCTATGGGCTTTTTTTTTTTTTTTTTATGTATGGTAAGAATATTCTTTTCAAGTAAGTTACTGTTTCTTTATCTGTTCAATCTGCATAAATGCAATTAGTTTAATAAAAGTTGAACTCTTATCGTTGAAGGGATATTAGGCTACAAGAAGGCATTAGGGAGAGGACAACCTTGGAAAATTAAAACTCATGTAGCTAGAATAAACAAGGGTAAAAAAAGCTTTGTTTTTTGCTGTCAAAAAGAGTTCAAAAGATTAGACTAAGTATATATATTAATTATGGGTTGCTTTCCTAGATGTTACAAATTTAAGTCAATTTGATCCTTAGTTTTAACTTTTAAACTCAAATACTATAACATTTCTATACCATTCTCTATCAGAAACCACTCAACCTAGAAGTTTAAACAGATAGGTGAAAAGGATAGGATAAATTTTCTATGTATAAATATACGATTTCTAGCTTTGGCTTTTGACTGTATCCAAATTAGGAATCACATGAAACACAAGAGAATACCAAAGGAAGCAATTTCATTACTTCTTGCCTGGAAATCTTACTTTGTAGAGTAGAAGAGTAAGTGCATTGTGATGCATACTTCCAGTTATCAAACAATTGACATGATAATTCTCACACGTCTAGCAGAAGTCGTTAAGAGTTTATAATTTCTCTTGCAAGCACTATTATCATGTTTCTGAATGATAAGTCTGATAAGACGATCCAAAGCAAGCTGCAAGACTCTCAAAATTTGAAATATTTGGCCTTGAAGTGAGGCAATTTTATTTTTCTTCTCAGTTTTTGCCTCTTTCTCATGCAACATTTGATACTGATCCGAAAGTTAAGTGAGAGCTCTTTCAGAAACACTATCTAATCCTTTAACGGTTTAACCCCCCCGCCCCCCCACTTTTTTTATTAATATATGTAGATTAATTAGTCATCCAGATTACATTCTAACATTCGGAGCCACCTAGGTTGGAAATTCTCCAAAGACCTTGCATCAA